TTGATGAGCCGTACGGCGTCAAAGAATCTTGAAATGCATCTTATGGACGTTGTGACTGCATACTTGTATGGATCATTGGATAATGATATATACATGAAACTCCCTAAATGATTGAAAATGTCAGAGGCATTGAAAGAGAAATCGAGGGAGATTTGTTCGGTCAAATTACATCGATCACTTTACGGATTGAAGCAGTCCGGACGCATGTGGTACAATCGCTTAAGTGAATATCCTTTGAGTAGAGGATATGTGAATAATGCGATATGTCCATGCGTTTTTATTAAGAAATCGTTATTTGGATTTGTGATCATTGCTGTATATGTTGATGACTTGAACATTATTGGAACTCAAAAGAAAGTTGATGATGCAAAAACTCATATGAAAGAAGAGTTCGAAATGAAAGATCTCGGTAAGATAAAGTTTTGTCTTGGGATCCAGATTGAGCATCTTCGAGAAGGTATATTTGTGCATCAACCAAATTATACGAAAAGGTTATTGAAACGCTTTCGTATGGACAAAGCAACTCCTTTGAATACTCCAATTTCTGGTAGGACTCTCGAGAGAGAGATCCTTTTTGACCCTGGGAAGATAGCGAAAAGATGTTAGGTCCAGAAGTACCTTACATGAGTGCTATCGGTGGGTTGTTGTATCTAGCGAACTGCACCAGACCTGGTATTGCCTTTGCCACCAATCTTCTTGCAAGATATAGCTCGGCTCCTACTCATAGGCATTGGAACGAAATCAAACATATATTCCGTTACCTTCAAGGTACGATTGACCTAGGGTTAATGTATTTTAGAAAACCGGAGTTTGGTATGGTTGGTTTTTGCAGATGCAGGATACTTATCAGATCCTCATAAGGCTCGCTTGCAAACCGGCTATGTTTTTACATTGGTGGGACTGCGATTTCTTGGCGTTCCCAGAAGCAAACTCTGGTTGCAACATCTTCGAATTATGCAGTGACTATTTCGCTTCACGAAGCCTGTCGAGAATGTGTGTGGCTTAGATCAATGAGTTACCACATACAAGAAGCAAGTGGAATAGTTGATAGGAAAGAGCCGACAAAAATATTCGAAGACAATTCGGCGTGTGTTGCTCAACTTAAAGAAGGTTATATCAAAAGCGACAGAACAAAGCATATGCCTCCAATATTTTTCTCGTACATACGGCAGCTCGAGAAAAATAAAGAAGTGGATATCGAGTATATACGGTCATGCGATAATCCCGCAGATTTGTTTATGAAGTCCCTTCCTACTACAATGTTTCGAAGACACATCTACAATATCGGAATGCGACATTTGCGTGACTTATAAAGAAAAAGCTATGTCTATTATGTTCAGAGGGAGATCACGTCAGTGTATTCTTTTTCCTTTTTCATGGTTTTTAGTCCAGTGGGTTTTTCCATGACTAAAGTTTTAACGAGATGCTACGTAATCCAAGATGAATAATAAGGGGGAGTGTTACAAATATGATTATTCATCACAAGTACACATGTCCCCTTATCATCAATTATGAGTGATTAGTGTCACTATACACATGTCAATATTTGACTTAATATTGTAGTAAATATCTGAAGTTGGCCGACTTGTGGTCTCTATATAAAGGGATGTACTCTTAATTTAAAGACACACAGATGACTGAAAATCTGATCAGTTTTTAGTCCTCTTCTCACGTCTACTTCTCTCTCTTTATTACAAACAAAAAGTCATATATAAATATACTATAAATACTTTATATCTCACCTTATATTTATACAACAATGAGATTATTATTGGAATAAAGGCCTTTGAGGGGATGTAAACGCTACTAATATTGAAAATAGATATTATATGTTTTCTATTTTTAATTATGTTAAGATTTTAAATAAATTTACATGATATTTGATCAAAAACTGTAAAATGTCTAGATGAGATAATTTGGTTATTGATTTGATGAAATCGGCTTTAAATTTTGTTTCATAAAATTGTGATTTTGGATATATTCTTTTACGCTTAGCTCTCATCATCTTCCTTTTTCTTGTTACAGGTGTTCCTGGGCTTTGGGTCTATTGAAGAAAAATCATAGCAAAAGTAAGGTATTGTTCTTGCTCTTTTACTCCGTCTCTCTCTCTCTTATGGTTTATGGGTCTCTACTCTCTATGGGTTTACTGTTCTTGCTTTCTCTAGATCTAAGATTAATTGGAATTGATTGGACAGCCAAATCGTGAGAATAACTAGCTTTATTTACAATTGGGCTTCATCAAAATATTGTCGGGAAACGACTAATTCATACATCAACTGGGGATCGCCATTCCGATCAATACATACATTCATGCCATGTGCTGAAACGTACATTAACTCTAGTTATATTCAAATTTCATACATCAACCAACACTTTTCGGTAAATTCATCATTTTATTAAAATAATTCATTTCTATTTGGTTTAGATGGGGATTCGAACCCAAGTTGCTTGCAGAATTACATCTCCCACTCGACCACTCTGCCATCAATACATACACTCATGCCCTGTGCTGAAACATACATCAACTCTAATTATATTCAAATTTCATACATCAACCAACACTTTTCGATAAATTCATCATTTTATTAAAAAAAATAATTTCTATTTAGTTTGGAATTGATTGGACAGCCAAACCATGAGAATAACTAGCTTTATTTACAATTGGGCTTCATCAAAATATTGCCGGGAAAACGACTAATTCATACATCAACTTGGGATCGCCGTTCCAATCAATAAATACACTCATGTCCTGTGCTGAAACATACATCAACTCTAATTATATTCAAATTTCATGCATCAACCAACACTTTTCGGTAAATTCATCATTTTATTGAAAAAATTCATTTCTATTTGGTTTGAGGGGGATTCGAACCCAAGATGCTTACAGAATTACATCCCCCACTCGACCACTCTGCCATCAATACATACACTCATGCCCTGTGCTGAAACATACATCAACTCTAATTATATTCAAATTTCATACATCAACCATCACTTTTCGGTAAATTCATCATTTTATTAAAAAAAATTCATTTCTATTTGGTTTAGAGGGGGATTCGAACCTGAGTTGCTTACAGAATTACATCCCCCACTCGACCACTCTGCCATGAATGCTTCTATGTTTAATATATCATATACACATATGTATTATTCATGGATTCCGGGTTCCCAAAAAATAAAATTTTGATTTGGTCTGGAGGCGGATTCAAACAAAGGTTTCCCATAATAACCATTACTCACTCGACCACTCTGCCATGTATGCTTCATTTGTTGAATACATAGCATATACATATTTATTATTTATCTGTTCCGGATTTTTCAAAAAAAAATTGTTTTCATTTGGTTTAGAGGGGAATTCAAACCCGGTTAAAAGCATTATTTCACACACACTCATATGAGCAGCATACAAATATACTTTATCACTTAATTAATCATAGAGTTAATCAGTAAATATTGTACAACTAATTAAACTCAAAATCTTGACGTCCTTTGGTCGTGCTTACATCAAATGAGAGTTTGTCCAGTCAAGATATAATCAAACCGAGCAACAGAAAAACCTAAATTCAAATAAATTATTTATATTAAAATATATAAACAAATTAAAACTTTAAATTTCTTAAAATTTATTATTTGAGCATTTTTTTTTTACAAAACAATTGAACAATTCTTACCAAATTAAATATATGAACATGTGATGTATTGAACATATTAAACATACATGGCAGAGTGGTCGAGTGGGGGATGGGTTGTTGTTGGGAATCTGCTTCAAATCCCTCTCTAAACTAAATTAAAAAAAATTCATTTCGGAAACCGGGAACTGATGATAATAAATATGTATATGCGATGTATTAAACAGATGAAGCATTCATGGCAGAGTGGTCGGCTGGGGATGGGTGGGGAACCCGAGTTTGAGTCCCTGTCTCATCAAATGGTAACAAATTTGTCGTTTTTAAATAAAATGACGTCGTTTTAGACTTAATTTCCACGTAATCATCCGTTAAATCCACGTAAGGCTCTGTTAATATTTGATTGATGGAGACACGTTCAAAGTATGAATTTACCAAAAAAATTTGGTTGATGTATGAAATTTGAATATAATTGGAGTTGATGTATGTTTCAGCACATGGTGTGAGTGTATGTACTGATCGGGACTGCGATCCCCTGTTGATGTATGAATTGGTCGTTTTCCCGAATTTGGCTTGTAGAGCCTGTTTTCACAGAGATGGATAATGCTTTTTCCATACATGTTTATAGTCATTAGCAAAGTTTGTAGTTTTGATGGAGTAATTTGTATTTTTATTCTAGCACGTGTTCTCAGTGAATCATTAATAACCATATATTTCTGTGTCCCTAGATGTTCTTATGTTTAGCTTGTACTCTACATAATTGTATATACTATATAATTCCTAATGAAAAAGTTGGGTCAACGAACTATTTCCTCACGAGAACTATCATATATCATCAGATATCTACCGAACTATGTTCTCGTGTCATATCTCTATAATCGAAAGTTACAAACTTATTTCTCATTGAATAGATAGTTCAAAACTTAATTACCCATATACTACAATTTTTATTGGTTTATTGTTAACCAAATAACCAAATTAAACAAGTCAATAATCCAATTATTATCCAAAAATATATACTCATAGACTATTCAAACTCCACATTATCATTTTCATCAAAGAAACTTTGAAAACTTCATATTTGAATGACTTTGAAAACTTCTTTTTGATAAAGTTAAATTTTTGTTTGGTTTTAAAATTGTTTGTTAACAATAAACCGATTAAACCATTGTTTATGTGTAATTAAGTTCTAAACTATTAATTCGGGGAGAAACAAATTTCAAACTATATATACTGGGAGAAATAAGTTTATAACTTATTATTTATGGAGATATGGCACAAGGTGATAGTTTGATGGATATTTGATGCTATATAATAGTTTTCGTGGAGAAATAGTACGTTTATCCGAAAAAGTTTTGTTTATATTTTTCAGATATGGAAATTGTATTCCCTAAACTATCCGAGCTTCCACAAGGGATTTCTTCACATTTAAGGAAGATGATCGATTGCATAGCCAACTTGGATCTGAGTGTTAAGATGACTACTCACAAAGAACATGTACACATTTATGAAGTTTACGATTCAAGTAAACGATTGAGATACTTGTTCAAGAAATTATGTGATTATGAAGAAGTATCTCCTAGGAAAGAAGTTGATGTTTACCTATTAGACCATCCAAAAAATAGCAACAAAGCATAATCTCCTATCATCTATGGGATTTGTGGAGTCCGTCCTACAATATTGGTGAAGTTCACATGCGCCATTGAAATGATGATGAGACTTCTCATGGAATATGTGGAGGATTCATATTTGATTGGTCACTGTCAGTGCCGTCCCAATTTTTTGGTGGTCTAAAGCATTTAAAAAAAAAAATTCCTCTAATAAAATATTATACTAAAATAGTATAAAATTTCAAAATGATAAAATTGTAATATAACAGAAAATAATGTTAAAACTAGATTTTATGTGAAATTTGTAACTCATTTAATCTTTTTTTCTGTGGATCAATGATCTACACTACAGTTTTATATGTAAAAAAATAGAAAAGAAAAAACTAGAATAAAATATCATTAAAACAAATTGTATAATCAAGTTTAAGTTAAATCCTCTTTTAATTTTATTTTGATAACTATAACATACAAAATGAAACAGAAAAAGTTAAATTCCCTTTTAATAATATTTTGAAAACTTTAACATAAAAATTGAAACTAGTAAGAAAGATGAACAAGAAAGTTTAGTTATGTTAATTTCCTTTTAATATTATTTTGATATATAACTAAAACAAAGAAGTGGAAACTGACAAAAAATTGGATTTAATGATTTGAATACTCCCTTTAGTTGTTTTCGAATATCCCCTATATATAAAAGAGAAACATTTGAAAATTTGTAACCTAAATTTTGTAATAATTAAAAAAGACCTCATGCTTAGGTGCCACTCAATTAGGTAGTCAATTACATTCAATTGAAAAATAAGTAGGTCCACATTCGATTTTTATATGTCGTTAGATACATTTGTTGGTCAAACTATATGATATGATGATATGATATGATATTTATGATTGTTCCGCTAGATATAATTACTATTTTATTTTATTTCCTTAACTAAAACGTACGCAGTTACCATAAATGACTAATATATATATGACAATTAATGATTCTAATAATAAATATTTGATAACAATTTATATCTCCTCCATCATTTTTTCTTTAATTTTATATTATTAAAATAAATTAAACAATCAAATTAGCTATAAAATTAAACTTTAGATTTTTTTGCATTTGTTATATTTTGAATTTTAAAAACCGAGAATAAATGACTAAAACTATTAAAATTATTATTTTAAAAATTAATGATCAACATTTAACATTTTTATTATAAAAAGATACACATGATTTTAAAACCATATGAGTAAAAAGTATCATTCAATAATAATATATATATATATATATATATATATATATATATTATACTATATACCATATAAGATTACATAAATATTTTAATTTAAAAATTTCAATCGATTCAGGGAGAAGTAAGTTTGTAACTTTCGATTCAAGGAGATGTGGCACGAGGTCATAGTTCGGTGGATATCTGATGCTATATAATAGTTCTGATTTGTAAATAGCTCGTTGACCCTATGTTGACTGATTAAAATTTGATATCCACTTTTTTTGATAAAATTTAATATTCACTCTTTTCTGCATTTTCTTGCTTTGTTTTTGTTTAATTAAAATATGTCGATGTTATGACTTGCGCGCCAATCAGGTGGAAGTTAAAAAATGTTGTTAAAGGTCAATATATTTCATGTAGCACATGATACAAGTCCAGGACTGGACCATCTTATCTTTGACTTTGTAATAACTTATTTGTTCATAAAAGACTAATATATGTGAAGAAATGTTGTGGCTATAAGAAATAACACTTGCAACTTGTAAATAGTTAATAAATCTAAAGTCCCATGCTTAGCGAAGGCAAAAGATACAATAGCTTCTTAATAAATCATCTTTCAACATTATCTAACCAGGTAAAACGGACCTGACAGTCAAATCCTCTTCGTTTTTATACATCCTTTCAGATGACAACGTTTATATATTAATTAAATTTTGATCCACGATTTGAAAGTGTAAATTTTTAGACTATAAACAAATTTTGATATGAAATAGTATTTTGTGATTGATGTATATATTATTATGTCACAAAATATACTATATCAAAGATTTTATTTTTTTAAAATGTTATTTATGAATTAGTTTATCTGAATTTTTGTATGTACATTCTTATGTAACTTTTTTTTATATTTGGGCATTTTATTCTGATAAAAAAACTGAACCGAGGCGGACCCAAGCAAAGGTTCGGCTTTTGTCCATGTCCATCACAAAGTACGTTTTCGGTATTGTTTGGATCCATAAGTCTATGTTCGAGTCTAGATCCTATCCGACACACGATTATGTATCCAAAATACCCAAAATATTTTATGTATATTAATTTATTTGGGTAACTTGAATATGTTACTGGTAGTACATATATTTTTAAGAAACATCTGGTTTGAAATTTCGAGTATATTTTTAAAATGATTCTCTTTTAGTATAGATTTAGTTTTATTGAAAACTATTTAACCATTTATATTTCAGAGTCTTTTTTATAATTTTTTGATAATTTTTAATATACATAAAATATTTTGGGTATTTTGGATACATATACAATCTTAATGATTCTTTTTATTAGGGCTGGAAAATCAGGTTCTCAGTCTCGTTTCAGTATGTGTTCATTCAGGTTTTGGGATTTCGGGTTTATGAATTTCAGCTCCATTTGGATATTATAAAGTTTTGAGTCAGATTCGGTTCGAGTTTAGTTACATGTCCAATATCCAGTTGAACTAAAAATAGTTTTGATTTTAGGTACTGATCGGGTTATCGTTCTAAAAAATACTAATTTATACTTGATTGAACTAAATATATTTCAATCACTTAGAAAAATTGTAACATTCTCAAACCATATTGTTATTCTTCAATCTGTGAAACTCGTGTATCAACCATATGAGACTTGTCGTTGAACTACACGTAACAAAATTAAACATTTCATGATTCATGACAAACCAAAATCTTGTACAAATGAAAATCATGCATAATGAAACATAAAAAATTAAAGTTAACAACTAATAATTCTATAAACATAAGAAACACTATTTAAACCTTTTTTTTAAAAAGCAACATTGTTTAAATTTCAAAACAAATTTATTCATAACTAAATTTGAAATGCAGTGAGAAACATTAATACATTAATATTAACCAAATATAAATATATTAGACAAAGTATTTGATTTAATTATTCATGTGGTAACTAGTTATTTTAGGTAATCAATAAATTTAGTGTGTTTTGAATACATATTAAAAACTGAGATTGGATATGCTTCTTTTGGAATTTTGTAATGTCCTGTATATTTGGATATCCATTTAAGTTTAGGTTCCGTTATGGTCAAATTCATAATCCATCGTTAGGTATTTTTTTGGACTCGGATCGGTTGGGATTCACTTTTAACAGGTTGGATTCGGTTTGAATTTTTGGATTCTGTTTATTTATCCAGCCCTACTTTTTATAGAAAAGTAAGTTTCTTAATCTTTATGTTTTTAGACATAAAGAGAGGAAGTATTTAATATATGGGTTACCCCTCTAATATTGTTTTTGAATATGATTGATGTTCAATATTTAATAAATATACCATTGCTTGGTTTTAAAATGCAAATGATTGTTTATTTTCAGAAGTATAACGAAAATATATATAAACATTATTTTTTGTAAAATAATAGAAAATATAAAAAAATCTATAAGATCTATATAAAGTTAGAGTGTATAAATTTTTTTTTGTTTTTAAACTATATAAACTTGAAAAATATAAGTTAAATTATTTTTAGTCAATGTATAATCTAGAGAACAATGTGTTTTACATTTTTATGGATTACCCTTCCAATTATTTTTTGAATAGGATTGAAGTTCGTTGATAATTAATATTATACAGAACAGTGCGTTTGTTTTCTGTATGATGTCTGTGGAAACACATGTTTCACATTAGTTGAGAACAATTATAAACATTGATTTGTTGAAATTGTTTGCGATGGAAATAGGCTAATCGGGCCAACAAACTTGTACTGATTATATTTCTAGTTCAAAGTAAAAACAAAATAATAGTTATTAAAACTGAGTAGATTTTTTCTATGTCTAGTTAAGGTAAATATCAAATATGACATGTTAATTTAAACTAGTCCAAATTAAACTAAATTGTGACCCTCGCTTTCAAAACGCGGAATTATTTTCGAAACAAACTAAATTTATATGATATAAATTTATATTTTTGATTATGTATCTACATTTAAATGTTACACATTAAGTTGATATTTAGTGTTCTGAAATACGACACGGATCCGCAGTTAAACAGATAAAATGGATGGATCTTTATATAATCAAGTTTTTTTTAACTCGTCATTTAAAAATAAAACCCATAAAAAAACTTGCTAAAACATGAGACCCGACTACTGGTTGAACCTGTGGATAACCCATTATGTAAGAATTTGACTTAAATTTTCATATTTAAAATATTATAATTTATGAATGTTTAAATGAATAGTGAATATATTATGAACGTATGCTCTAACTTCACAAAAGTTTGTCATACAAATTTTTAGTCAAACTAATTTATCATTTTGTTGTAAGTGTAATGAATCAATATTTGAAAGGATGCATACTAAATTCAAAATAGATTTGAGCGTTAACAATTTATAAACGTTTATTACAATTTAGTTGTTTATTACAATTTAGTGATTTAAGTATGAAATAAATTATATTTCTTATTTATTTATTTATTTAGTTTACTTTAATTGTTTACATAATATTAGAAATTTTTGATGTTTTGTTTTGGTTTATTTTCTATATTTTTTTTTAATTTAGTTTCACTATTCATATTAGAAATTTTAGTATTTATTAATTTTCCTTTTTTGTATATTTTTATTATATATCTAATAATAATATTTATTATTATCTTTTGACCTGCACTTTAAAGCACGAGATGAAAATTTATTCACAAACTTATTTAGTGAAAATTAGAAATCTTATACATATATTTTTAAATAAATACATTTTTTCAAAGTATATACAATAAAATTAAAATTTACATGAATATGCCTCGTATTAATTTTAATTATAT